TCGCTGCTGGCGCTTCGCAGCTGAAGTTTGTGGATCTACGAACAATTAGAATCAAGAAATGAAATAAACATTAACGACACACCTCGTTCCAGCTCGGCTGCCAAGGAGTCGCGCTTCACCGCTGAACGCCCTTCAGACCGCAACTTATTTAACGGTGTCTTGAACTGGTCATTCATATGCGCATATTCTACCTCGAAATGTCGAGGAATTGTGCAAGCTCAAGATAAGTACCCGGTAGAAATCAACCTGTAACTAATGCCGCTCAATACCATTGTATTGGGTGGTGAGCTAAGGTTAGGGTTAGGGTTAGGACTTCTTGGTCCAACGGTCAGATGGCAACTATATTTCTTTCTCCTTTTTCACCTCATCATGGCGTCCGAAGAGGAATATTCGGACCTCACAGAGCTTGAAACCGACGACGACGAGAAGACCACTAAGAAGAAAATAAAATCTGGAAAGGGAAACGATGGAGGCTACAAGATCAAGAACGCGTTGAAAGTCCCGCGAGCAACGACCTACACCGCTCAGGCGCTTCACGGTACGAGATTTTCGTATCAGGTCGCGTTTTCTGAACATATTTTCTCCCAGACCAAATTTACGCAGGCGATATCAACCTGGAGCCTGAGTACCAGCGAGGTACCATCATTTTTGGATGTTGGCGAAGTTGATTTTTGGATCCGTTTTGCAGATGTGGTTTGGTCAGAAGCCAAGCAAATCGGAATAATTGACTCGGTCTTTCGCAACTTTTATATCCCACCTATCATCTTTGCTGTCAATACCTTCGAGGACGCATCGGAAACCAAGACATGTATCGATGGAAAGCAGAGGTTGACTTCTATTCATAGGTATGACTCTGAGTTTCGAATCATTCAAATGTTCACTAAGGCCCCGCTGTCGCAGATTTATGGATGGCTCGGTGAGTTGAGAGTCTTCCCTGGAGATACAAATATTAACACGCCATTTTAGATTCCACGTATGTAACGCCATTAAAATCGCTGTGAATTTTTCTGACCGTGCGCGGCCTTCCAGATAGAGATCCGTGAGTCCGGTTCCATTTTGAGCCTTGGGATTCCGACTTATTTGTTTTTCATAGCCTCACAAACGAGAAGTTGTGGTACAAGGATGTACAGACTGGAACGTCGAAGTCAGCCAAGACCCGCCGACTCTTGCCTGAAAAATACCGACGACTATTCGCGAATAAGCAAATCGTTTGTGTCGAATACCAGGGCATAACAGACGGCGACGAGCGCGAGATTTTCCAAGTACAGATTATCCCTATCAAACGTAACATATTATGAAGGCTGACGTTACCATCAACAGAGAGTACAGCTGGGTATGGCGCTTACGCCTGCAGGTGAGCTTGGGGGCCGAAATTCTTAATTAGTATTTGACATTGTTTTCCCTCAGAAAAACTCCAGGTCATCAAAACACCTCGGGCAGATTTTGTTCGAGAGCTTCAGAACGCTTATATGAAAGACGACGGATGGCTCGGTGCCGGAGCTCTTGAATGGGACACCAGCCGTGGAAGTGATTTCCGTGGCCTCGCTCAGGCTGTTTACTACATGGACAAGTACTCGACCGTGAAAGTTCCAGTATCAAGCATGACGCAGCTCGAGAAAGTGGTTGGGTCTTGGCGAGCCATTTACGGCTTCTTTCCAGTCCAAAGCGGAGGATTCGTACCGCATATTTGCAGAGATGGTGCAAGACAAAACATTCAGTAAAGTTTTCAAGAAACCCGTCAAGCTTTCTCCGATCGAGTTCATCCTGATCGGCGTCTTCATATTCGCCCACAAGGATCAAGCGTCGTTGGCTCAGCTATCAGCTGGGATTGCGCAGCTACGTGACGATGTACGGCAAAAGCATGTTGATATCCGTATGAACACAAGGGTGTCAAAAACCTTGATCGAATTCATCCAACGTTGGGACCCGAAATCAATGAAGATCCCAGAGGATACTGGCGGCCCGGCTGGGAGCACCACCAATAACAGCGGCGTGAAGAGGAAACGTCCGGTTTTGAACAACGGTGACGACGATGAGGGCGACGACTCCGAAGACGAAGCTGACGAAGCCTCGCGGCCGAAGAAAAAAAGTGTTGCGAAAAATCCCCCCATCGCCTCTACATCTACTTCTACACCAATTCCTGCTCCTGCTCCTCCACCTCCACCTCGATCAACGCAGGCTACTCCTCCAACCTCTACTCCTCTACCAGGCACCGACCGCATGGCCGCTCTGCGAAGGGCAAAGGAAGCCCTTGCTCAAAAGCAGGCTCAGCGTCCGGCACCAATCCCAACGGGCCCTCGTTCGCTTACCATGTCCAGCAATGACACGATGCCCAATCCACAAATGCTACCATCGCCCGGCCAAACATATTCTTTCGCACCTTCCCTAGCTTCTGCCTCGCTTCAGGCTTCATCAGCTAAAGCACAAAGCCCAGTTATACCCAGCCCATCGTTGTCCATCCCACCGTCGGTAGATACATCGCTAATGGCTACGATGATGCGCGGTGCGAACCCCAACAACGAGCCTCGCCCCGCGCCTTCGTCGTCTTCGAGGACGTCCGGGCTCCCTCCTCCTCCTTTCAGTGGAGGCAGCGTGTCGAGTGCAGATGGCTCCCTTCGCGGTGCAGATAGGGATCGCGACCGTGATAGAGACAGGGATCGAGGATATCCATATGATGACCGCGACCGCGACCGTGACCGTGATCGGGATCGAGGGAGATATGATCCCCATCATCGAGAAAGTTACTCCAGTGGACGGCGGTCACCTGATTATCATGGTCGATCACGGACGACTTCTGGCAGAAGGGATCCCCCAAGGTAAATTCGACATCGCTACGCCCGTTTCCGACAGACACTACTGCACCTTGCCACGTCCTTTCCATCGCGTTGCCTCTGTTATGACTCAGACTAAAAGGCTTCTTGTTATTCAGGCGCTATTGATTCGCTTTTGTTGATATTCATGTTTTGAACTCTCGTTTACCAAGCCATTGTACCTGATTACAATCTTTGTCGTTTTGGCTTCCGACTCTCGACTCTGCACGTCCTACGGAAAATTATACGGCCGGCTATATCGGTTTAATCGATCCACTCGCACTTCAGAAATGATTACTGGGTTTCCGGATCCCCCTTGTATTCAATGTTCTGATATTTTTTCGGAAGGTCTCCTCTGTGCGCTCATGATTCCAAAATTTTATCATTGAATAATGTTTCGATGAAGCATTAATGTTTTTGAAATTGTGGACGTCATCCAGCGTACCAGGTAGTCCATCATGCGTTGTTATTTATCAGTTGCGTACTGAGTAACGACGATACAGACTAGTCGAGCTCAGGTCCGTCAGATTCAAGTTCTGCCAGCAAAGTCGCTAGCAGCTCGTTCGAGTATTATAATTGGCGAGTCACTTATTTGGGAGTCGCATCCAGCCTCCACCACATTGGATAGTCCTGGATGAGTCCACAATGAAGAAATTTTGACGTTATAACATGCCATGTTATGGGTCCATAGTAAGACCTGATATTAATCCATTAAACTAGAAACGAGATTGAGGAACAAGATTCTTGACACGGTAGAAGTCCAGATGCTGCCCACCGAGTTGTGCCGAACATATTAGTGGACGGGTACACAGGATCGCTAAGGTTTGGGCCGTTTCGAAAGACCTTGTATACTAGAACACGCCCGTTATTCGAAATATGACGGTGGTGATAATACCTTTTTCCGTTCCGAGCGTCATTTAATAAATCGCGTTCAAACAATTAACATTCGTTCCACCTTCTGATTGAGGACTCATCTGTGTAAAAGACCTTACCTGACGGTACAAGCAATTGTTCATAGTTTTTATGGAATTCGAAGGCAGTGTTTTGTCAAGTGCGCTTCCCTTTGTGGAATCATTTAAATTTGTATTCAATGCATCTGAGCCCATGGCGCAGTGTGTTAATTACACAAAACGTTCGGTGCTCAGAATATCACTCTATATACCATTGCCATGAACATGGAGCATAGTGTGGGCACTCATCAATCCGAATCGGAGTCGATTACTGTGACGCTAGCGTTATCCGGAGAAACTGAGGTCCTCGAATCTTGATGGTCGTCTTCGATGTGTCTCGTTAGGAAATATCTGCGACCAAAGGTTCTGTCGCAATACTGGCATTGCTCCATGATGGGGAAATGCGACATTAAATGACGAATCGAATTGCCGTCCTTCAGTTTCGTTTTGCATTCGAACGCACCGTGTTTGAAAAGACATACGGTAGGTGTTCGATCGCTGTTCGCCCTGTTAAGCCTGTGCAAACCTTTCTTATCCCGAAGGTGGAATTCGAATGCCTTTCTTGAGATGAACGTCGCTCGACAGGAACCGACAGTACATTGAACCTGGACGAGCCTAAGAGAAGAGCCTGGCGGCCCAATAATTTGAAAAGGGAACTTCTTCAGGAAAATGGTGGATGCCTCGCAAACCGAAAGAAGAGTCTTTCGGCCTGTCCACGCTGGCTTCTGATAGATATCTAGAGGTTCATTTGGAAACGAAACCCGAAAGCAGCCTGAGATATCATCCGGGTCAGGAGGAGGCGAAAGTAAAGCCGACACAGACATGAGGCGAGTCATTGGACTGTAAGAAATCTTGATATCAGAAAGGCGGATAATTCAACATAAAATAAACGAGGCTAAGGCTTACGGGTACACCTCAAAAAGCGATATTATTTCCTTGGGGGGGGGGCGAAATGACCTCCTTATATACCTCCAAACTTCGCGGTGGCCAATCCACGGATAAGTCTTCTGGGGCCACTGACAGCAGAGTCTTGTCCACTTTCTTTGAATCATCGATGAGGGGTTGATTGTTATGCGGTGGTTATAGGCCTAGAGGTTTGAAGGACCGAGCAGAACTGAATTCCTTTAGCAACACAGATGATCATGTTGATAAGTGGTCCAGTCAAGCTTGAGAACTTAGTAACCAGTTTCCCGAGCGAAACCCCAGGGAAACGGAGCGCCTTCAAAAGATGTTCGGACAAGCCGCGTTGGCGCAGTCGTAGTCGCGTCTCACTTGTACCGATGAGTCCGAAAGGACCAAACGGAAATGAGAAGGTCATTCGTTCAATCCGGGTACGCGGCATTATTAATTTTTTTCGGATTGTCGGGATTCCATGCCCCCTCTTCTCAAGCTACTGAGTGGCTATCGAGCTGGGGGCTGCGTGTTATATATTTATTAAATAAATGACTCCGGGTGCTTTGACAGGGGGACGCAGGACGACGAACTTGATCAAACGTTTGCTAAGTTATTTATACAGCAAGAAAATATGAGGACCTTCGATCAACCTTCGATTGAACATGGACACCAAAAGATTGCCACAACCTACTCTTTCGCCAGTTGAGATTTCAACAGAAATGCGTCCAGCTTCTCTTTAATCTGCAAGAGGCGCGCTTTTCTATCACCCAATTCTTTCCGTCTTCTTCCCAAGGCAGGGTCTTCGGTAAGAATGTCTTGCAAATCTAAACGACCCGCAGCAGAATCTTCGAAGATGCTTCTGACGAGGACCTCTTCAATCCCAAAAGCAAAGGCCTAATTCAACTCATGTTCGATGGTGAGAGGCACATAATCGATGAATCGCTGCCAAAAGGACGACGTCTCGACGGTTAGGCAGGTGCTCGAGTCAGAGATTCTAATACTTACTTTGCATGCAACGTGGAAGTACGCCTGGACCGTGGCCATTACCTTCACTTCATCTTCGAGAGCCCAAGTCTGAGCGTCTCCTCTCAAGTCTTGTGTGAAGATTGGCAACGGGGAATGGTCGGTTGTGAATTTGGTAGGCGGAGCGGGGCTATATGGATAAATTGGGCTCGGTGGAATGGTTGGGGTGCCTGACAGGACTGAAGGCGCCTGCAGGTGTGGTCGCCTCGCTTGCCAGAAAGTCGTAGTCCATTGTTTCTTCTCCGATTCGAGATCCTGGAAGTTTTGTGTATATATAGGATTGGTCTCGAGTCTGAGGACCCTTTCAAACATATTGTACGCATCGTCTTGCCTTCCATTTCGATCCTCAAAAACCAAAGACCTATGGATGATGAGGGGTGAGAGGGCAGTGAAATATATTTTGTTGAGATTACTCACTTGATATATTCCTCGAGCCGACTGAACTGGCCAAAATGTTTATCGAGCAAGGTGTCGAGCAATCGCGTCGTGTTATTTACGATGTCCTTGAAGCAAGCGCGAGCGGGATCCGCCCATAAGCTTGTATATTCTTGCACGAGGACTTTGGTAGCCTCAAATGGAACATTGCCGGGGAGCTCCCAAGTGATCGAACTATAGTCACGAGTTAGGAGGGAAGGAGATTGAACATATATCAAAGCTTACTCTCTGATTACATTTCGAATATCTAATAATCCTCGAGCTCGGGTGTGAGTTTTCAAGAGAGGCGACGTTGATGATATATCTTCGAACGGTCGGAAATCAGGGGCGGTCATCTCGATGTCAACTTTGAAGCTCGTGTACCGCGCCCTGTTCGCTTGGACAAAATCGTAATGTTTACGTCCTAGGACCGTGTCTTTAATATCCTTAGAGAAGGCCGAGATACGGAGCATGATCTCGGTTGAGGGCTCTTTCGCGAGGACCGGTGGAAGCTCGCCGAGTTCCGCGACACATTTCAACAGTTCGGATTCAACAGCCTTGAGCATCAATGGAAGACTGCAAGGATTAAACATCATCATCAATAGAGGTACATAATTGATAGACATCCACGTACTTTTTCTCGATAAGTTGCACCAGTAGCGCGCTGATATCGTGAACAAAATTTGGAATTCCAAAGCACCTACGCTCGGACATCTCGCTCCAGGGAGGGGTCGACGTAAAGAAGGTATCCGCGATGCGCTGCGACTCCAAGCGGGAGACTTTACGAGCGCGCTCCTCGTCGTCAGGTAGCCGAACGCAGTAATAACCATGCTTGGTGCGGTGCTCGCGACCTTCCAAAACGGCCTTCCACTTTTCCCGGCCGCCTGTTGCCCCCTTCGTAAGTGTATCAGGTTTGGTGAGGACACCTTCACAAATAGGTCAATCCATGTCCACTGGAGGTATAGGGTGGCCAGGAATTACACACCGATGGTTCTTCCCTTTTCCGGGTCACTTTTTCCAGCAATAACAACAGCCTGCATCATTTCGATGTCGTCTAGAATTACGAGCTTGAAAAACATCTCATCGAGATGGACCGCAATTGACGTACCGCTCATAGGCATAGCTATAACAACTATCGTATTTGTCTTTGAAACATAGTTTTCGACCAAAGATCGTACCATGTTGATCAGATCCTCCTCGGCATTCTGAATTAACCCTGTAGTTGTTCGGGTGATATCAGAATTCATCTGTGTAAAATGAGACGAGGATTTTACCAGGTAGATCGACAAACGAGAGGTCCGTCGCGGCTGGGTCCTTCACGCTGACTTGGACGACGTTCTTCGAGAATGGGAGGATGGAAGTGTCTGTCTTTGCGTTTTCGCGAATTTCAGATTCGGTCATAGCGAGGAAGTCGGAGCGAGGGCGGTGAGGACTGAGCACGGCAGCCTGAGCACGCCTGATCCACAGTTCGACGTGGCTCTTGTTTTCGATAACTGGCCCAAATGACTCCAGTACGTGCGCCTGCGTCTCTCCCGCTGAGTTATATTCATAACGGATTTCAATCGTGCAAGACCAGGACTGGGCGTTGCTCGACATGTTGCATTCCATTGGACATCTGGAGATTGCCATGAGGGATGGTTCTTTCATAGAAAGGCAAGGCTAACCTGGTGCACGTTCCGCTATCTCGCGGGACATTTATCTACGTGCCATTTTAGTCAAGGGTAATTGTATCCGGAGTCGAATCCTTACCCCGCTGACGGCTTCAACTAGCGAACTTTTGCCACCTGCGGTCGTCAGTTGGGGTGAAATCCGAATCCGAACAAAAGGGCGTAGTTTGCTTACTTGATTGTCCACCAATGACGACGACACGTGGTAAGTCAAAGATGGTTTTCGCGCTTCGTGAACCTCTTAGTGCGGAAGAAAGTGCGAGGAGGTTAGGATGACGAACCCAAGAGCAAGCAAATCACGATATAGTTCCATGAATTCACGACACTTGCGAGAGTACTCCGTCGACGAAATGGTGTCCTTTCCATCTGTCGACCTGTCACCCTGAAGAAAGGAGATCTGTCCTGTTGGAGAGGAAATGGTCCGGGTCCTGGCATTCTGCGTCGCAGTAGTTCCCGTACGGTTGCGGCGGAATACTGACATAGTGCGTCAATGTGGGTTGGGTCCACTGGCGTATGCATCCGCCTGCTATTTAAATAAGCCTTGCATCGAGGCCTCGATTGTAATCAGGCGTCTCGTGGGCCTACGAGATTCATAAGACTTCGTGGGCGTGCCAGCATTCGAATCAAGGCGCCCTGGTTTCTGGAAAGAACCCTGCCTTGCTTGTACCGTTTTTGGTGGACACATGGCGTTTGAGAAGATCAAGAATAGCCCAAAGATGGCCTGCTGAATTCGCGAAATAAGAAAAAGTGACCCCAGTTTTATTGGCATGTCTCTGTAAGAGGAGAAGAAAGGGCAGGGGCTGTCTTTTTATGGCAAATCGAGAGTCGAATGTGATGCATGTGATGGTCAAGGTGAGAGCAAGGGTGACGGTCACGTTTCAACGTTCAACGTTCAACGCCTGGCCGCACGGCACCGGCTGCCAATTTACCGGGACGGGGAACTACCCGATCTTCCCGAAGCTAATGGGCGCTTGTGATAAGCGCCAAAAGATGGATTATTCACCTCAAAGTCGGGCAATAGAAGCGAAGGTAAATAATATTTTAAAATAACATGATTTCCAAAGTGACGTCAGGGAGGGATACAATGCAACTGCAATAATGGAGCAATGGAGCAAAATGGTTCAAATAAGTAGATAGACAACGCATGCGCAGGATTTTCTTGCTGTACAGTTGGTTACTTCTTCGAGATTTGAGACTCGCTTCTGATATCGATCAAATGTTGATTGTTGCGGTGACGTCGGGCAGGCGTTTCTCAGCTAGGCGAAGTACGAAAGGAGGCCAAGGTCAACCCATAATCTTCCGTGAGCCTCTTCGCGCAACTCCGCCTACGCGCAACATTCATTTCGAAATCGCCGTTGTGGAGTCTACAAATCGAAAGGTGAACAAGTTTGAAATCAAGGAAGGTTCTTCTGAAAGAGTGGAATCGATACACACAGGTGACCTTTGAACGGCTGGTCTATCGGTCGGAGTTGAGTTAATTTGCAAAGTTACTTAGTTTACCTAACGTCGCGATAGAGCCAAATACGGAAAACGCACATCCTTGAGGAGGCTCCATCGTAAAACGCGACCCCGCAGCCTGTTGTAGAGAGAATCCTATACGACCCATGGCCTGTAAAACCAATTAACAATCAGCTGCTGTTCAAAAAAAGAACTGGATATGAAATTCGAACCTGAATGAAATCAAGCTGTTTAACAGTGCCTTTCACAGACAAATCGAATATCTTCTCGAATACTTCATAATCCCACTTTCGGACAGGGTAAGGGATACGAAGTGCGGGGGCATCCGATCCCTCGGGTGGGGGAGCCTCAATAGGTTGATGTCCAAGCAAGGGGCGTTCCTCCGCGACTCCTGTTCGCTTCACCTTGGGCCCGACTCGGGTTGTCGTTTCGCTCTCGACACTTTCCGCTTCGGGTTGGATCCCAGAGAGATAGGAATACGGTTTAATATTTGCTGGTTCTGGCTCTTGCACCGGCTCGGACGCAGACGATGGCGCGCTTGAGGCCTTGGGTGGCCGCGGGGCCCTAGCGGGAACGATATTAGTATCCGTCGGCGTGGTTGGGCGCATCGGGGTCTGGCGAGGGGCGATATACCATCGCGGAGTGGGTTTTTGGTATCCGATCAGCTACGAGGCGAAGATCATTTAAGTAGTCTCACTAAAAATACATAAATAAAAAGCCCACCTTTTCGATTGTACAAGAAACCCGCTTTTCCGTGAGCTTATCTATTTCGAGCCATATCTTCCGAACGGCATTTTCTTGCCCAAGTGATGCGATGCCTTTGATATACCGTTCGATTGGAGCAGCATCCAGAAGTTTCTGTGCATTGACAGAGTTGTCTCTGAA